CCCCCCCCCCGCCCCACACCAATGGAACCAAGCTCGATGAAAGTTAATGACTACGCTTTTTGTATGATAATGGCAGGACAGGAAAGTCTTGGGGGTAAGAGTTATCATCGAGATGGGAGCTGGGGTACCAAAGGTGTTACGATTAAACGACCGTGGTGAACAGTGAGGGCCATACGGGTATCATGATATTTCAATAAGTAGATTAGCCAGGTGTGGGAGAGTGTGTTCCCCATCCTGTCAAGGGCGTAGCGAGGGTGTTTGGCGCCCGGGGACAAGATTTGCGACCGGGGACAAGATCCATTTTAAAGCACCCCTTTTTCTTTTTTTTTTTTTCAACTCTCAAACCCACTATTTTCATCAATAAAATAATATCAAAGCACATTTTGGTGCCCCTAACTAGCTGGCTCCCGGGGGCATCTGTCCCCCCGCCCCCTCCCCTCGCCAATGTATCTGCTTTAACTGCATGTAAATATTAATGATCCATACCATATGTAACAAAAATCACTTTGCAGAATAATTCCAGGATAAAGCTCTTAAGGCAGCATAGGACAATCGGACCTATCTGTGTCCTAGTTGAGAAACCGGATCTAAGAATTTTTTGATCTGACGGAGGTGTAAGAAATTGAATTCCCTAAAATCTAATATCCAACGATCACATTAAATTATTGCAAACGTTTGTATTAGCTTTATTTATATACTTGATGACCTTAAAATTCTTTTGGATTTATGGCTCTTTATGCATAAGGTTAGATGTATTCATAACTTGAATAAGTTTTAAAAAAGTTTTTTTTTTTTTTTTTTAAATTTTTTAGGGGGGAAGGGGGGGGGATAATTTTTTGACCCACTGAGTCAAAAAGTTTTGACAGCACTGGACACAGATCTGTGGTCACGTCTGGATGACTCTAGGCGACAGTTAATTTTAGATAATACAATGTAAGAGGCACATCTAGATAATATGCAGTACGAAGCCCGGGCCATGAGAGAGACTTTCAAGCATATGGCAATATACTTGCGTTAATCATTGCATTTATCCACTTTGTCAGTGATATTTTCTTTTTTAATTCAATGGGAAGTTGCTTCATTTATTGATAACATTTTATTTACCATTAGCCAGGACTGTAAGAAGCAAATAGTGATTTTTTTTAAAAAAGTCATTATCTCGTATAGATACAATTACATAAATATAAATTTAAAAATACATGTTTTAAAATGATAGACTTAATTTAAAAAAAGAAAAACTTTGTTACCCCTACGAATGATTTTTATAAGCACGCTGGCTATTTACATTTAAAGTATACGTTTTGCTAGTATTAGAAATGAGTCAGCTTCACTTACACTATAAATATAGGCCCTAAAATTATTAAAAAAAAACAAAAAACAATTCCCTTTGAAAAAAGTCTAAAGTTTTTTTAAAAATATAATTATAATTTGTATGTAAATGTACCTAGCTGTAGCCACTAGGTGCCTGCAATACAATTGTATTAATTAAACTCTGAAATGTCGTTCCCTTTTGAAGCGATCGTCATTTTCAGATATTATATAAAGATTTTAGGGAATTCAATTTCTTACACCTCCGTCAGATCAAACAATTCTTAGATCCGGTTTTTCAAATAGGACACAGATAGGTCCGATTGTCCTATGCTGCCTTAAACTTAAAAGCTTCATCCTGGAATTATTCTGCAAAGTGATTTTTGTTATCCATTGATTTGAGAAATAACATTTCCTTACAGTTAAAGCAGGTACATGTGCTGCGGCCCTTTGCTCATCGAATTATTCTTATGTGGTTCTTCATGTGGATTGAGTTCACTTCGGAAAGAAAAACACTGGTTTGAAAAATTTTAAGAAGCTATTTTAATGATCGGGAATTTCCAAAACATAAAAGAGGGAAAATCCAGAAAAGCTCTAGTGACTTCAACGACAGTGAACGTGCTGCTTGTTAGTCTCCTTAATTACAATTACCATTGAGGGTTTAATTGATTCTTGCACAATGTGGTTTCCATAAAGGTACGTGTATGTAACGTTCATTAATAAAACTTAATGAAACCATTACGGTATGGAGATTTAAAAAAAAATTAGACATTATATTTAAATTAAGGTATGCCATCCATGAGTAGTAGTAATCATCAGTAATCAGTAATACGCTGAATTATATTTTTATACATCATATAAGTATAAGCGAAGATTAGGAGGTACAAAATGTTATTATTATGTAATCTACATTATTTCATATAGTAGTTTATGATTCACTCGTTCATTTAAATCTGGCACATGGATGATGTACAGTAAATAACAACTTTGAAACCAGCGAGATTGCGTTAACCTTGCTTTAATTCACCAGAAAGCCAAGCAGGGTGGGTGGCCTGGTCTAGGACACCTCCGTGCCTGTATAATTGTGCTCCGTAACAGCTCACAGGCATAGCGTTCAAAGACCCTACAGACTTTCATGAAAATTTGACAACTTAAAGGTAAGCCCTCTGACAAAACTGACCCTTTTTGTATTGCAACTGCCCCCCCCTTCCCCAAACCCAAATTAAAGGATTATTTGTAAACGCTTTAATTTGATGTATAATATTATTTTATACTTGTGCCCTCGGAAATGAAGATTGCAATATCAAAGAAATATGTAATTTGTCGATATTTAATTTAATTTTGATTGCTTTTTCAATAAATGTGTTAATTCTGATCTCGTCTTGTATTCAGTGACTTTCTCCTTTTAAGGAACCATCTTTGGTCTCGTCTGTAAGCTGGGTGGGTCCCTTAGTGAAACTCTACAGCTGTCTTACTTCAGTGTACACAATTATTGCGAGGGCCGAGCAATGAAAAGGAAACACTGTTTTCAAGCACAGACCCATAACCTTTTATTTATCTCTTCATTATCAATGGCACTTAGCTGAAAGGGGCTACTTATTACTCTAGTATTACAAACATAGTGTTTGCTTTGTAGCGCACTCAATTAATTCAAGCTTAGTTCAACTTTGAAATTGTTTACAAACATCACAGTTGTTTAATTAAAATTAAATTTAACTTTAATGTATGATTTTCGTATTATGATTACTTGAAAATTTTAAAATCATAAGCGATTAGAAATGTATTTTAGTGAAAACCCAAGAATAATTATTAATTATTATTTTAATTTTTGCTTTGATATAAATATGTCGGTATTTCAGAAAAATGGGAAATATGGCGTGAGCCGTCATTGACCAGCAGTCCGCATCAGATGAGCTTTATAATAGGAAACGTGAAATACTAACGAGTGGCAACAGCAATGTCTCCGAGAACGTTAGACTTGTTCCAAGCTGTTTACGATAGTGACATTCCGTCTATCCAAGAATTTCTCCACTCAGAGGGCAACGTCAACGCTTTCGATGAGAACGGCAACAACGCTCTGATCCTGGCGGTTCGAGCAGGCGATCTCGACGTCATCGAAATTCTGTGCAAAAATGGGGCTGACGTCAACCTGACGTCCCCAAGTCACAACGCCCCTCTGATGGAAGCCGTCAGCTCGGGAAGGATGTGTGTGGTCGAGTTTTTGTGCGATAACGGTGCCGACGTGAACGCCGTTAACGATGAGGGGCTCTCTCCTCTGATGTGGATAAGTGAAGACGAGGACGAGCCCATCGCGAGGCTGCTGATAGAGAAACACAAGGCAGACGTCAACCACAAAAATAAGAGAGGTGTCAGTGTGTTGATACATGCCGCTGATAAAGGCTTTACTAGAATAGTGCAGGTTTTAATTGACAGCGGGGCGTCTTTGAGCTATGCCACGGTATCAGGATGGAGCGCTCTGCTCAAGGCTACACGAAACAAGGATTTTGAGACCGTTCAGTTGTTGCTACAGAATGGGGTGGATGTTAATCAGGTTACACGAGACGGATGGAACGCCCTCATGTTGGCCTGCTACAGACCTTGTCACCTCATCGCTCAACTTCTTGTCGATGCCGGGGCTGAGCTGAATCTGATCAACGCCAAAGGCTTCAGCCCACTCATGTATGCGTGTTACAACGGTGCAATGGAGACGGTGAAACTGCTTTTAGAACGAGGCGCTGACCTCGTCAAGATCGCCAACGATGGGATGACAGCCTTGCAGCTCGCACGGCTCACGGGTAATTCAGAACTGATAGACCATATCTTGACATACGGCGACGCTCATAAAAGGCTGTTAATAGAGGCGGCGAAGAATAAAGACCACGTTGGCGTCGTGAGGATGTTGTTAGAGTGTGGGATTGATGTGAACACCACAGATGGAAGACAGAAGAGCGTCCTTATGATGGCCAGCGAACTCGGAAACCTTGAGGCGGTGAGATCAATTCTTGAGAGACCCGACGTCAACGTAAACGCGGCTAACAAACGTGGCTGGAATTCTCTGATGCTGGCCGCATTCGGTGGACACTGTGAAGTGGTCGGCGAGCTACTCCAGAAAGGAGCGGAAGTCGATGCGGTGAACTCAAAGGGCAATAATTCACTGTTGATGGCGACTCACCAATTACACTTGGAGATGGTGCAGCTGCTGCTGGGGTTTGGTTCTGACGTCAACCATTCCAACCAGGACGGTTGGACCGCAGTGATGTTGGCCGCGCAAAATGAAGCTTTGGGCATTCTTCAAGTTTTGCTGCAACACCAGGCCTCCGTCAACATGTCAAACCATCAGGGGCAGACGGCTTTAATGTTGGCATCTGAGTACGGCCACATTGACATCATACAACAGCTTTTATGCAGTAATGAAAATGCGATGGATACCACCGCATCACATTTAGATAGCTCTGAAATTAGAGCTCAAGCAATGACACCTGTTGTTGACGTTCACAAAATGAACAAGAAAGGTGAGACGGCGCTTGTCCTCGCATGTAAAGGTGGGCATGAGAAAATCGTTGAGATTCTGATAGAGAAGGGGTCAAATGTCAATCACAGGAGTGAAGACGGCACGAGTCCACTGAAGGCAGCAGTGTCCTGCGGGCATTCTCCTATCGTGGAGTGTTTGCTTAAGAACAAGGCCGGCGTCGATGTCGCTGATGAATTTGGAGACACCGCTTTGATGACAGCCGCAAAACTTAAAAACAAAACAACAGCTGAAATTCTAATGAGATATAACGCTAATCTAGACCACAAGAACAGCACCAATTTAACTGCTTGGGACATTGCAGAAAACAATGGTAGCAAGGACATTTTGGACTTGATGCAAACAATGAGGAAAAATCGAATGATTGATAGTTACAGATCGATAACTCTCGATGAAAACAGGACTACAGGTTCAGACTTCGATAACCGGAGAGGTGAACCAGTTATCCACGTGGAACGTCAATATTGTGTTACCTGTAGCTCAACCACTGATACCAGAAGCAATTCCAGTAAACAATCTTTACCTAGTTCTTTACCTCGTGTCAACTCTAACCCAGCCACTGACGTCAAACCCAATTACAGAACACCCTCTACAGAGTCTTTGATTTCTCACGAAATGTCCTGTATGAAAAATCTTCACTCGAATCCATCTTCAATCCCTTGCATTAATTCAAGGGAGGAAGAGCCGAATGAAAACCTTCATCGTAACAGCAACGAGTACACCATTAAACTATCAGAAAACCACGTTGAGAAACATTTACCAGAAAAAACACTTAATTTGTGCAGCCATGGACCTAACGAGGCCCCGGCCAACAGCGAGGGCACCCAGGCTAACAGTGGGCATGACCAGGCCAACAGTGAGCGTGAAAGCGGTCACAACGGCCAAGAATCGCCTCACGCTCACGAATTGTGTGAACGTGTTCTTAAAGTTGATGACGTCATAAGGGATTTCCTCAGGAGGGATTCCCAACCTCTGAAGGTGGAACGAAACCTCGAAATGAAACGCACAAATGATCAAAACAAAACGGATGAGGTCAAGCAAGGGAACCCTGACCACAACAACGAGAAGCAGACATGGTCTTTGAAAAACAAAGCACCATTAGGACCAGGATTGGTGTCGAATACAGCTGTCCCATTGACGCAGGCGCGCCAATGTGAAGTGAAGAAAGGCGGCGACCAGTACTATAATTCATCTGAATTATTCAAAGCGAAAAGTCAGGAAGGTAATATTATTTTTTTAATGTCATATTCTTTTAAAAAATATTATTCCTGGATGCCCTTTCAAAATTATTCATTACTGTGATTGCATGTGAATACAACAAAAAATAAATCTCATACAATATAGGAGATTCAGAAACATAAACATTGGGATGAATTTGATTGAATTATATATATCTTTGATTTTATTCTCTCATGTGATCATTTTTTTCAGCGATCCTTTTTAAAAAAAAATGTATGTATATTTATACCTTTTTTTAAAAATTGCCTTAAGATATCATTCATTAAAAGTGACTAACTGATGTGTATTTGATCCCTTCTTGGAACAATTTGACAAATGGTATGTTCTCTTTCATTTAACTTCGTAACAATAAGTTGCACCATGCTCCGGTGTTCAGTGGACTTAAGAGATCGTATAGCGTTCTGATCACAATATTCCTTTATCTTAGAACTGAAAGAATTCTTGGCTCAGGGGGAATCTCCTGCGTACGCCAACATGAAAGCGTCACGTGACATTGACAGTGGATCACAAGCAAGGGAAGGCAACCGCGGGGCGTCGACCAGACCCTACACGCCTGAGTCGTGTCTACACCCAGACAGTGTTCTGCCGGCGAGCAGATCCGATGAACTGCTGAAACCGTGCTTCTCCGAGTTCACTGATTCCATAGAGGTCTACGAAGATGTTTGTTACATCCCTTGTAACTTTCCTTCGAGTGTTTACAGTGAAAGATCCCCAACGACGTATCAAGAAGCACTAGCGATGCAATCAACAGAAACTTACATAAAACAGTTCACAAGGGCCGGTCAGTGCTCTTGAATCTTTAAAAATTAATCCTTCATTCCATAATTAATTTTTAATTATTTTTGTGGGAGGGGGGGGGAGGTCGAGGGGTTTGGGAGATTTACCTTACAAAAAATGAACAAATTATCATTAAAATAAAAAATATTAAGTAACAAATTTATTTCATCTACTTATCATCAAATGTGTCTTTATATTATTTTTATTATGATAATTATTGTTCAGACAGTCCAAGTGAGATCAGTTACATATTAAATAGAAGCACGTCGCCAATAGAAACAGACTGCGAGACCAGGGACTATGTGACAAGCACCAATGGTTGTCTTGAATATAATGAAACCCAAGTAGGACCTGTGACATTCCTTCAGTCAGATCAAACCTCATTTTTTGGACCGAGTCGAACTTTCCATTTAGATGACAATAGGCCAAGAAAAGGTAAGAGTTGTTGTAAGGTATTTAAGCGTAAATTTATAATTAACTATAAAATCACTTATCCATATCCAGTAGACAGCCCACAATTGTTGAAAACATGGTGTTAAAATCCAAGTAAGTATCACTAAAATATTTTAACTTTGAGAATTGTTGTTTGAGCTAAAAAAAAAAAAATAATAATTTTTTTTTTTTAAATGATTAGATCTAGTTTTTTTTTTTTTTTAAATTCAATATCTAACACAAAACCAGTATTATTTTTTTAAAAGGAGAGGAAAAATAGTGTAAACCATTATTTACTTGTAAATTTAAAAAAAAAAAAAATAATAATTTTTTTTTTTTTAAATGATTAGATCTAGTTTTTTTTTTTTTTTAAATTCAATATCTAACACAAAACCAGTATTATTTGTTTAAAAGGAGAGGAAAAATAGTGTAGACCATTATTTACCTGTAAATTTCCAAAATAAAAAAAAATTAGTCATTAAAATGTTATTCTTCATTCAATCAATTTTCTTTTAAATTTGGGTTTCGGTAAGATTAATATTGGAGGTAAACATGTGAGATGAGAATTGAAACCGAAAATTGCTATACATATTATGACCACGTTAATTGATGAAGTGTATGACTACGTTAAATAATATAAATTATGACTGCATATTTTGATATATCTTATAACTATTTATTTTGATATATATGTTATGACTGCGTAACAATGATGATTGAATTGATATGATTTATGACTATGTTAAATTATATATAATATTACAGCGTATTGTGATATGTATTATTACAACATATTTTGATATATATTATGACTACGAATTTGGATAGATATTATGAATACGCATTTGGATATAGGCCTATATTGCTAGTGCCTATTTTGATATATATTACGAATACTTATTTTGATATATATATAATACGACTACGTATTTGATATATTTATGACTATGTAACGCTGATTTTGATTTATACGGGGCTATTTTTAACTTTGCTTAAATTTTTTTTTTTACTGATTTGTCTGTTTTTTTAGCTATGTCAACCAAATGAAAGAAAATTTCTTAATTTTGATTTTAACAAAAAACTCGTTATCAGATATTAAATAATTTATCTTGAGTGAGTCTGGTTAGAGAATTGTAACGTATTTTAACACTTTCCGCGTAGCTTGCTTCACATTTCTCAATTAATTTTAATATTTCATTCCAAATTTATGCCATACTTATTTATAAGTAGCTGTCAATGGGGCTGATAAAAAATATATATATCTCTGCTATTTTTAGGGCATCAAGCTAAAAACAACATCATCATTGGGACGGCAGACGTGGTGGCTTTCGAGCAGTCTCATCTCAAATGTGCAACGAGGAGAGGGATTCTCAGACCTCGAGTTGTTCCCCTTGACATCGACGCCGAGATAACGCAGCCGTTGCTATGCAGTCGTGGCAGCGCCATGGCAACAGACTCTAGCGACGCTGAAGAGACACGTAAAACATACCTTAAATAATTTTAATAAAAGAACATTAATTAAAAAAATTAGATAACCTGAGGACAAGTTTTGATACTATTTTTAAATGGTTGTTTTCTCTTTTGCAAATGTACCGACGGCTCGCCTCCTGGGATTTGAAGACATCGAAGATGTTTAAATGTGATAATGATATATATAAAGTTCGTCAAAAGGAGACGGGTGCATAGGAGCGGGTTTATTCGATACATTCCCTTTGTAGTTTTCCTGTCGTGGAGCAAAATTTACGTTCGAAAACTTCATCATAAAAATTTTATAAAAAAAAAATATAAAACTAAAAAAATAAAAAAATTTAAACGTATTTTTGATGAGTAACTCTCGTTATGCATACGTTATGTGTACGTTTTGAACGTTTGAAACAATCCTAATCAACACAATTGGAACACATTCCTAATATCAGCAATAGCGTCAATAGCAACCACATGTTTAGAAAATCTCTCGCCGACGCTGTTAGTTTTCCATGTCTATAAAAAAAAATTATTGTAAAAACCAATATTTAATTTCATTTATATTATTATTATTATTTTTTTTTTTGGATCATTCAACGAGAATCTTTACTAGAAGTATATTGTTTTATTTTTTAATAATATCAGCAATAGCGTCAATAGCAACCACATGTTTAAAAAATCTCTCGCCGACGCTGTTAGTTTTCCATGTCTATAAAAAAAAAATTATTGTAAAAACCAATATTTAATTTCATTTATATTATTATTATTATTTTTTTTTTTTGGATCATTCAACGAGAAGCTTTACTAGAAGGATATTGTTTTAATTTGTAATTTTAATTATAAGAGGCTCAGGCCTGGCTTTAAGAAAAGTGGGCCAGGGGTTAACATTTGATTGGTGACATTGCGATCTATTAGTTACGATATGATTTATTAAATAAACCTGCCAGGCGTGTTAACTGCAAGTGTTTAACATCAGGGCAATTAAAGATCCTCATGCTTGTTCGACTGTCAGATCACAGCGGCCCAACCAAACAATGAATGAGTACACATGCTTGGTTTTATTATAATTTTTTTTTTTAAAAATTGTATAAAGTAGCACTCTAAATGTAAATAGCAAGGAACTATACTATTCATAATCATAACCCAAGATGTACATGCATTTCAGTATACGAAACTGTTGGACAATACGCAACTGTTGGAGATCCCATTGATTCATCGCCTCTTGGGGTGGATAGTAATCTAAATGTTGGCTCGTCCATCAAGTAAGATTTAAGTTGAGTTGAACAATTTGTGTTGCGTGTGTTTTAATTCATAATATCGGAAATATCTTTAACATATCAGGCTGAGCAATGTAATCTTCTTAATTATCCAGTCTTTGTTTCAATGATTATATCCTTAATAATGAGCTCATGCTTCCTTTCAGTAGACATCCCAAGGTGGAGCAGTATCCACAATGGATAAATGATATCATCCAGGCGGTGAATACGGCACCAAAAAATGGATCACAAACTGATCAACCTATGCAATTGTGAGTCTCATCTCTTCAGTTTGATTTTTTACCACACATGATTGCACCAAACCACTACTACTGACATACAAGAGTAGACTGGTTAAATGACCCCTGAAACTTTTGGCCACCTGGACACTTCTATATGTTGCACTACAATAAAACTCGCGTATTAAATCTTCAAGTAGATCTATATTTTTCTCCCGATATAGCAGGCCAAGAGATACCCCTGACGAGATTAAGCCGTTTATGAACTGGCCTAGGTCTAGCTATACGCCTGCGGTTAAAAACAAGATAGGGAAATCTCTACCGGGGGTTGAAATAGCCAAGCCATAACTTATCCCTCCTGGCCAGATTATTACCCCCCTACCCCAAGCGTGATATTAGTGGTGTACTGTGATGCACCTATGAATTACTTAATTTTCGACGTATCACTGGGAGTTCAGCTTTGTATGGTAAGTTAGAATAAGTGGAGGATGATAATGACGGTTGAGTGGATGGTGTACTTACGGTTGAGTGGGTGATGGTACTGATGGTGGAGAGGATGATGGTACTGATGGTGGAATGGAAGATGATACTGATGGTGGAGTGGATGGTGTCCTTACGGTTCACTGGGTGATGGTACTGATGGTTGAGTGGGTGTTACCACTGATGGTGGAGTGGATGGTGTACTTACGGTTCAGTGGGTGATGGTACTGATGGTTGAGTGGGTGATCGTACTGATGGTGGAGAGGATGATGGTACTGATGGTGGAATGGGTGATTGTACTGATGGTGGAGTGGATGGTGTTCTTACGGTTCACTGGGTGATGGTACTGATGGTTGAGTGGGTGTTACCACTGATGGTTGAGTGGATGCTGATACTGACGGTTGATTGCATTTTGGTACTGACAGTTGAGTGGGTGAGGGTTCTGCCTGTTGAGTTGCGGCTGTTACCGACGGTAATATGGATGGTGGCACTGACGGTGTCGTGGAGATTTTTGTGGATGATTGCCACTTTATTCAGCACACCAGGGCCGGCATCATTTGAAAAGGGCATTGGGTCCACAATAGCATATTCTGAGGGTTCAACAGGAAGCTTTGCCTTCAGTCCGCACATGGAGTGCCCTTGGTTGAGGCACACCCAGACATGTGACAGAAAAACATAACGCTAGGGATTTATTGGTCCCTAGTTGTCTAATTGTTTACTGACAGCCCCCTCCACCACCACCGACACCCACCAATAACGTGATTTCTGTTTGAAATTTCCTTCCAACAATTTTCCTTCGAACAAGATACTTTCACACAATTTTTTGTTAACAATTTTGAGTACATTGTTAATTACCAAGCTACAGTAATAGTTACAATTTCTATCTTCCTCCTGCTGGACTAGACACTGCCTGGACGTGACACTGACTGTATTAGACACTGCCTGTACTAAACTCGGTCTGGATTATTCACTGCCTTGACTAGCAGCCTGGACTAGAGACCACTGGGCTAGACACGGCCTGGACTAGACACTGCCTGGACTAGAGACAGCTGGGCTAGACACGGCCTTGACTAGACACTGCCTGGACTAGAGACCGCTGGGCTAGACACGGCCTGGACTAGACACTGCCTGGACTAGACACCGCCTTAAATATGTCTGCTAGTGACACCTAGTACACGACAATGTGTTCTAAAACTTTCAACATCAAATGTGTCCGCTATCGAATATATAAAATAAACATAATAAAAAACTGCATATTTATCTTGTATTTTTTCAAGTTTTTTGCGTTACTTGATAATCTTTCCATAGTTTGATATCTTTGACTTTGTGTTTATATCAGGTCAATGTGGATCGAAATGTGTTTGGATACGACGGCATCGCGTCCTTAACATTCAGAATAAAGAATCTAAATAAAAAACGCGTTTCAATTTTGCTCCCCAGAATAAATTTAAAAAAATAATAAAATAATTATTTCTTATCTTAACAGAAATATTCACTATGATGCCACCGTCCATAACGTGACGATACCAAGTACTCAGTTCTGTGCCATCAATAACAGTAGTATTACCACCACCAACGAGGTGGACTCAGGAAATACAAAAGGTATCGATATTATTATCATTGATGCGATACTTTCCTCTGATATTGGTGTTTTTAAACAAAATTATTACTCGGGTTTCACATTCAAATTAGATTCAAATGAGTCAGTGAGTCATACATAGATTTGAATTGTACGATTTGAATACATTGGCATGAGGCGTCAGTAAAATGAAAATTGGCGAAACTAAAATCAATAATTATAACATGACATGATCCTGGATTCTCTGCAAGCTTGTAACGTTTGTTATCAAGTAACAGTAGATATGTCAACTGCCCATCCCGAGATGAAATTTATAACGACCAATACATGTCTTTTGTTATATAAGTGTATACATTTTACCATAAATACACTATGTAAAATCTTTAATGACGCAAAAGATTAAATGGCCATGACGATGATATAGTACGTGATCATAATTATGATAGTTAAAAAAACACTACAAAAAAAAACAAACAAGGATGTTCTAGCCTGATATGTATGTACTTCATTATGTAGATATGTCGATACTTAATCAATTGGATATGTATGTAATTCATTAGTTGGATATGTCTGTAATTCTATATGTGGATATGTCTGTACTCTAATTATTGAATAGTAGTTTACTTTTGAAGTTAACTTACTATTTTACGCCTTCTGTTTCCATAAAGTTTCTTTCATTATTATACTTTTTATGTCCCTTCCCACAACTCTCGTCATTCACCAATTTGTTCAGTCACTTCCCTTGATTCGTCTCTTCCACCCCCCCTTCTTTCCTCCTCTACCCCCCCCCCCCCCCCCACAAAAAAAAATTAGTAATGTTTCCTGTCCTTAGTTATAAATTAAACTTTTAGTAGTCATCATTTCAATACATAAAAATATAATATTACCAATGACACAATATTTGATGTGTTTTTCCCCACAGATATAACTATGGTCAGGGGTAAGAAAGAACCCCTGTCTCCAGAGGAAGACCTGACCATCCGAAAAAACTTCAGCTACCTCAAACGCAACCTCAATCCGATCCTCATTGCCGATCTGATGTGCCGGGAAGGAATCTTTGACAGCAGCGACATGGAAGACGTCATGAGGCCGCGTTTCATGAAGCGAAAGTCGCACGTCCTGTTACAGAAAATGCTCAATGCCGGCAGTGGTGACGCCTTCGATGTGTTCATGGATGCTCTGGAGAACGTCCACCCACGGGTCGCAGACAAGCTGAAGTCTTCTTCGCTGGAAAGTTTACCGGCAAGGGGAGATAAGCGGCGATGCTGTAAATGTTGTGTTCAGTGAAGAAATCGCACCAAATATTTATTTTTTGTTATTGAATCCTTTGTATTAACTCCGCATTTTTTTCGTGTGTTCCTTTAAGGAAAAATCTTCGGATGGCTAATTGACTCACTTCCCATCATCATATCGAGATGAAACCTCCAACATGGCCTAGTGGCTAAAGACAACGCATTCTAACAAATTTTTCAGCCCCACCCACAACCGCGAAAATCAGATTTGACGCCACCAGATGGCGCTGATTTTAAGAAATAAAATTCCCCAAATCTGCAGCTTATGAGATTCTGAAAAACACAACAAATTCGTTTGGAGCGAAATATTTTTTTGGTTTGTTTTACAGAATTAGTTGGTGGAATAAAACTTCGGTGTAAACTTCGGTGTAAACTTCGGTGTAAACTTCGGTGTAAACTTCGGTGTAAACTTCGGTGTAAACTTCGGTGTAAACTTCGGTGTAAAGGCTGATGATGCAATAGAATATTAATACAGCTCAGGGGCGGTAACAAAAATATGCGGTTACGAGCCTTGTGTGGGGGGAGGGGATTATGCGAGACTTTATCAAGTGCGCTACATGTTCAATTTTTTAATCCCCCCCCCCTCTCACAACCATTGCTTAATATTACATTTTATATCGGATTTATACGAAAAACGTTATTTTCAGAGGTTGTTTAATTTTAGTTATGTTCTTTCTGTGATAATCGAATCAAAAGTTAGTGAGTTTAAAATGATAACTTAGCCAAGTTACTATTCTTTAAAAAAAAAATGATTTTAACATTTATGAAATTTTAATGTTTGCATTCGTCAGAACTACACATAGTAGAGCACGCTTGTTTTAATGTCACTTCAGTCCACCTGACACGGAAGAAAGCATTTAAAATGCATGTTAGTAACTTAGAATGTCAGCTGATTGTGTTTGGGAGAGCTTACTCTCAGTAAAGTTGGGTTGGATAAATCGTTTATATTGGTGCTTTTTATTGTGTTTTTTAAAAATATATTATATTTTTTTTTACATTTTTTATTTATATTTTATTGTTTGAACACAAATTAAATAAATAGAAACATTAATATATATATATTTATAGCATAATCACATTTTATGTTAAATTTCGTATGTATTCTAAACACTTGGAAATAATTCGAGTTAAAAAAAAAGCTTTGGACTATGTGCTTACCATATATTTTGATAAAGGGAAAACTAAGTTCATGTTGCAAGTTTATATGAAATATTTCTTCTATGAGTAGGCTATCACTGCGATACAGGAAACTTCAAATGACATGATATATAAATAATGTTGCCCACGATCTTAATCAGATATGCAACAACAAAAATATATATAGCTTGAGTCAAGCTTTCATTTGTGATCATGTTTGTATCAAGTACGAGACATCACAAATTAAATAAATCAACAAATCTCACATTTTAGGAAAGGGATTTTGTTTGAAAATGTCCATGTTTGCTCAAGGTTGAATCTTTTGTATTTCTCAGGTTTAACAAAAAAAATCATGCTCATATAAACGAGAAAAAAAGTTATATGTTTACTCTAGAAAAATGCCATCAGAATCTATAAATATATATATATATATATATATATATATATATATATTATATATTAACACATTTTATAAATAGTGACTTTGCAAAGTAATAGATTCAGTTCAATTTGAGAAAAAGTTGAAATGTGTACACACTTTAGTGCTGCTAACGTGTAAACACTTTAGTGCTGCTAACGTGTACACACTTTAGTGCTGCTAACGATATGATCAAGAAGTTAGCATTAGTCGGAGATAAACCAGACAAATTAACAAGAAAAAGAAACGACCCCACCTACCCCCACCCCCCACAACAAAAAGCCCTTCCCATCCACCCCCCCCCCCCCCCCCCCCATAAAAAAAAAACCACAAAAAAACAGACCCACGATAAAGATGTTTGACAAAAAATTCTAACCGTCCCTTATGATGAAAGCATTCAATAACTAATAAGCTGATTAGACATTTCCTGCAGTAATTCATCAGATAAGTAAAAACAAAATTTCACGCTAATCTCGGAACTTTCAGATTGACATTTTAAGTAAATGTCCATCACTTTATTCCAAAACAAATGCTAAGTCTTGTACGCATTTAACTCGGTTAGCAAAAATGTGATTGAGCGTTATGAGGGAAGGTACAGCTGTTTGAGCAGTTAACCAAAAGTATTTTATTTAACGCCGATAATACCCCTGGCGTTATTTATGTCATTGTGTATAGTTGTTTAGGTTTTGAAGTATTTTACCCTGCATAATGCCCCCAAATATCTTGACCTAGTTTCATAACTCGTTAAATAAAAACGAAATCCTTCACAAAAATGTGAGGTACCTGAAATAATATTTCTACTGTAAAGTGTAGCTATAGCTATTTAAATTTTCAAACTTATTTACTCCCATTACTTTCATCGCAGTATTTTGTATTAATATCTCTATTCAGTTGTTTTTGTGTGTATAATCACCATCATATTTAACCCCCAAAACATTTTTTTCACGTTGACAGGAATTAACTGAATCACATATGTCTACACAAATCGTATATTCTTAAATAGCTTTTAAAACACCTTTTCAGGTTTAGAAGGAAAGCATTTTCTAAAGCAATTGATGAAATAGCGTGCGATTGTGTCCAATTAAGTTCAACTTTATACATTGCTGTTTATATGAACGACTAAGAGAGTAAAATTTGCTAAAATAAACAAATAAATATATTTGTGTTGAAAATATTTTGAGAAGTTGATCAGTGTGGTGATCTGACTTATGACTTATTGGAGAAGAGTGTCTCTCGTATGAGACCTCCTCTTGGCACTCTGTCTAGGGATATGTTATTTAAGCCGAATAACCACACGGACATAACACCTATCTATATACATATAGTATAGACTGAAACGAAGTCCTAGTTAAAGGTGAAATTAACTACAAATATTTATTACACAA